AATTTCCAAGGATAACACCATATTGCAGGATAATTTTACAAACCTTTTCTTTCAGAAATTACAACTTTGATGTCAACCACAAAAGCTCCAACCACAAAAGCTCATAGTACTACAACGGGTAAGAACATATATGAAGCAAATTTTATGTGATTCTTCATAAATTTATACATTCCACTAATCTCTTTTTTTTATTATTTACTGTTTAATTTTTCATTCATTTGATGTTGATTTTTTTTACACCCCACCCCCGTGATTTTACTACAAGCTTGAGGACCTTGAACAGTCCATTTTTAACAAAGCACGACAAATATTCTGCTCATGATAGTTTTGGCATAAAAAAGGACGCTGCTCAATGCTTCACAATGACACTCTTGAAATATCTGACATATATTTGGTCACATAAATATTGGCCAAACTTTTTCCAAAAGGAGATTGTGGATTGTTTTAAAGAAAATATTAAAAGTACCAAATCACATGTCTAGAAAATGTAAAAAAAAAAAAAAAATAATAATTTAAAAGTAAACGCTATAGATAATGGCTATGTGTGGTTCAGGGCAGTGTATGATGATAATATACAGGGTTCAATATTTTAATTAACGAACCACTTATATAACAATAATTATTATGAAAGATTATTTAATCTATCTGGGCGAAGCTTGACAAAACATAACTAAAGTTCATATTAAAATGACCACTCCAAACTACAAATTCTCCATAGGGGTCTTTTGAACAAAAAATTGCGATATGGCAAAATACCACATTTTGTTATGAGTTTGCTTTAAGCCTCTGTTCTGTATGGTCACCAGGGTCACAGTGTGAATTAGTCAAAGATCTCTATTCTACAGGTGCAAAACCTGAAATACCATGTCCAGTGTGTGACGCATCATTAAACTGTACCTGGAACAGAACTTGTCCACCGGAAACACAGACCTGTATGATCCGATCTTATGCAGGCTATAACTTCACCGTCCATTGCTCTATGGTATGTTTTGGATCTTTCGGAATATTGAACTTGTTATTTCTTAGAGATATGCTTTAGGAGCTTGTTTTCATACTTAACTCAGTAGTTTAATTATGTAAATCAACGACAGCTACGTGTAAGTGCTTCATTGCAAGCGGTATGGTTCTTCTTAACTTTATAATCTTAATTTCACTTCTCTTTTTATATGAACAAAGAGTTTGTGTGTTTGAAAATCTTAAGATTTTCTTTTTTTTTCTATCTATTCCAGACAGATGATTGTCACTTTATACAGTCAACCTTACATTCGGGTGAAATTTTTTGTTGTAATGATAGAAAATGCTTAAGTACATATTTGGGTATTTGAATAAAATCTGGTAGATTTTTTTGTATCGTGTATTTTTTAATGAGATTGGAGGCTGGGTCACGCATGCACACTCGCTTATCCAATTGGATAAAATGTCCTACAAATGTCCTTCTTTCGTCCTTGAGCATGAGTTTGTGAATATTTTTTTTATTATACATCCTGATGTGATGGATATTGACTACCATATTTGGTGTAATGCTGCGTACTTTACCCTCCACCATATCCATGACCTTTCTCGTGTACACTTTTGAGATGTTTAAATTGTGTATCTTCATTATATAAAGCTTGTAAGAATGAGATATACTCTCATAATAAAGAAACGCAACATGTAAAATTCTGACATTTATTGAGCATATTAAAATTTATTTTATTACATCATACAAAAAGGTTTATCTTAATTATGGTAATTGTTTTAATGGTCATTAAAATGACCGTAAACACAAACTGCAAAGGAAAAGTCTCGGTGCATATTTATACGCGCATATGCATCAATATCTGTTGTGACCACCCTTTGCTTCCAACACAGCCCTGATTCTTCTCCGCATTGATTGAATTAAACGCTGAATTTGAACATGAGGTATTCTTTGCCATTCCTCCTAAAGTGCCTGCTCTAGTTTTGGAAGAGATTGGAGGCTGGGTCACGCATGTGCACTCGCTTATCCAATTGGTCCCACAAATTTTCCATTGGATTCAAATCCGGGGATCTGGATGGCCATGGTAACACAGTTACAACATGATTGTCAAGAAAGTCAACTGTAGCACATGCTGAATGCGGCTTGGCGTTATCATGCTAAATCTCCCTTCCAGTATTGATAACTAGAAGAAGGAGTGGTTGAAGAATTTCATCTCGATACCTCTGTGCTGTTAAATTGCCTGGAATGTGAACCAGTTGTGTTTTTTGCTTGTATGAAATTGCGCCCCACACCATAACACTGCCGCAACCGAATTTGCCAACTTGTCCCACACAACTACTGGCAAAACTTTCATTTTGTCGTCTGTAAACACGCATGCATACGACCATCTCCATGTTGAAGCAAAAAGCTGCTCTCATCGCTGAACCAAACTGTTCGCCAGTTTCTCAGGGTCCAGTTGCTAACTGTGTTGCACCATCTGACTCGTGCACGCCTATGCCCTGTTGTTCGATATTGATGCTCTAAAAGGTGGCCACGAGGTCTCCAGGAAATCTGCTTGACCATATCTTCTTCCCCAGGTATATTTTCTTGTTTGAAAGAACTGTATTGATTGAAAGTCCTGCTAAGTTTCCGAGCTAGTTTTTCTTGGCATCATTTTTTTGCTATTCATTTTAACTTTCAAAGTGAGAATTCCGAAGTTATGTTCCTTACATCTGCTCTTTTTTTGCAATGAATGACACATCCTTGCACGTAGCATGGTGGCCTACCTTAATTCTGCATTTTCTTTCACCTTTCTCTTCCAGGGGATTTTTATCTTCCTTCGCATTTTCCTGGTTTTCAACATCTGCTCTTTTGCAATGAATGACACCATCCTTGCACGTAACATGGTGGCCTACAATAATTCTATTCTTTGAATTTTCTATTCCATGGGATTTTATCTTCCTTCGCATTTTCCTGGTTTTCAATGGAGTTTTCTTGTAACTTACCGTGGTTCCTCTTATTTGCACACCTGCGCTTGCAGTGGTATTTTCTTTTGCTTTTTTCCCATCAGATTGGTCGTTTTCATCTATCCAATCATCATTACAATGGCATCGGAGATGTCTGCATTTTCTCCTTCTTTCTCCTCTTTCACCATCCTTTACCTCTGGATTCGGTTCTTCGATACCATCTTTACCATCCTTAATAGTCATAGTTTTAACAAGCTCGGAAATTCCAGACTCAATATCGTGTTTATTCTTGGGGGACGAAACATCAGATTTTCTTTTACTCTTCATTTACAAGTGCTGCCGCTCTTGATCGATAGCTTTTACAGCGCCGTCCAAGACACCTTTTCCCTTTTCCAGTGGAAGAGTCAGGAAGAACTTTCGATTTTCGGTCTTTGCATGATCTGCATCTCTTACTAGACAGCATCTCACCATTTTTCCCGTGTGCACACGGGGGCTGATGAAAAAGGATGATGAGGTATTGGCGACTCAAAATGGAAAATCTTGAAGAATTCGATCACCCTGGGATTAACATTCATGGATACCGACAAATTGCAGACGACAAAAAGGGTCGTTAAGATGCCACGATTGATAGTAAAGCTTGATCAGAAATGACTGGTATGTGGTACCGTTGGAAAATGGATTGCTGGAGTCGAAGACACGATCGGCACCCTGTCCAACATTCCTGGCGGAACGGAGGTGCATCGGTGGCCTACGATAGTTGCCGCTCAAGGAGAAATCGGGAAAACAAAACATTTTGCCCAGAGATGATTCCCTGCAAGCGAGCAAACTCCATTTACTCGTCTGTGTGAAGGAAACCTCAGGACATTCGGCACGATGCTTCATGAAATGAGAAAAAGATGCAGGCGCTCAACATCAGTCCCCGTGTGCAGACGGGAAAAAGATGGCGAAAAGCTAGCTTGTAAGAGATGCAGACCATGCAGACACCGAAATCAAATGGGATGTTCTTTCTCAAGTTCAAAGTAAACGGTTGGCCTAAACATGCCTGTGAGTCTTCTACTGATTCTGCCACTGGAAAAGAGAAAAGAAGTCGGCGCTGCAAAAGCTATCGAAGAAAAGCGGTAACATTTTTAAAAGAAAAATCAAAGAATTCTGATGTTTCGACCTCGGAGAATAATTCCGATATGGAGAGTGGAATTTCTGAGCTTGTTTAAACCATTTCTATCGAGGATGTTAAAGATGATATTGAAGAACCAATTTCAGAGATAAAGGATGGTGAAAGAGAAGAAAGAAGGAGAAAATGCAGACCTCGCCGATACCATTGTAATGATGATTGGACATACGAAAACAGCCAATCTGATGAAGAAAAAACAGAAGAAAAGACTACTGCAAGCGCAGGTGTGCAAATAAGAGGAACCACGGTAAGTTACAAGAAAACTCCATTGAAAACCAGGAAAATGCGAAGGAAGATAAAATCCCATGGAATAGAAAATTCAAAGAATAGAATTATTGTAGGCCACCATGTTACGTGCAAGGATGGTGTCATTCATTGCAAAAGAGCAGATGTAAGGAACATGAATTCTCACTTTGAAAGTTAGAATGAATAGCAAAATGAGACCAAGAAAAACTAGCTCGGAAACTTAGCAGGATTTTCAATCAATACAGTTCTTTTCCAAACAAGAAAATGTACCTGGGGAAAATATGGTCAAGCAGATTTTCTGAAGAAACCCCGTGGCCACCTTTTTCAGCATCAATATCGAAGAATGCTGCATCACCAGGGATACAGTCGTGGAAGAGCACGTTTTCTTTCGCCAGTGCTCCCATGCAATTTTGAGAATGCAGGATCTTGCCGCCCTTAGACCTACCATCAATCCATTTCTCCATGGTAAATGACCACTGGAAAAATTACCATCGACTACCTTCGAATACTAGTAGTTTGATGTTTGATTCTAACTGCTTAATGTAATTTTTGTAACGAACTTCAAACTAATAGTAGTGACTAAGGCAATATTTCAATGTATGACCTTACATAGACTTATGTATTGTGTGCAAATTCGGGAACAACCTTCAAATCCAGTAGTAAATAAAAGAAGGAAGACTTTTCATGTTTATAATCATTTATTTTTCACATGATAATAATTATTTACAATTCGATCGTTTTAATGCATACCTTATTAACATAATGAATGTAGAACCAAGTTTTGGTCAATTATTTGGCAATAATAACTGTTCCACACATTACTCTGTTTGCAATAAACTTCAAATGCAGTTACATACTGTAGTCAAAGAAAACATTAAAAACTACAAAGAAAAGATGATAATTCAAAGTATTTTGAGATGGTAAGTTTATCAAATAAATTTGATTTTTAGAAGAATTACAAATTATAGAATTGGAAATCAAAGGAATTGTTCACTTTTTTTGTAATATTATGCATTAAATTTTTTTTTCTTTTTTTCTTTAAAAGTGATTCAATTTGCATTTTATGACAAAACCATTCATTTTGTACATACGTTGCAATTGAAATTTACTAGTGTAAAGTCAAATGTCTAAAGCAAATTCATGTATGCCAAATTTGTGCAAAATTTATCAATCAAGGATTTCCTTTCAATATTTCTTTTATTACTTTCTGATTATCCAGTGTGAAATTTAGCATTGGATTGTCTCCAGATATTTTGATGGCTAATCAATTTTATTTAATAAATTGGAACAGTGAGTTATTTTGTGTGGAATTCTTATCAAATGTACATTAGCACCTTTAAAATATTTGTGACTGCTATTTTCTCCCCCTTTGAGAAATACATGTAATACACAAAGGTTCAACTACCAAATCCAACTTTCAATTGAACACTATCATTGCACATTTTAATAACCATTTTAGCACCTCCCACTCAAGATAATTAAACCAATGGCAAATTTTCTCACATGATCCAGAATGCTATAATTTTACATATCTGTCACATACAAGTAATAGGAATGGGCACACTCAAGTTCACACAGATTTTAGCACATATCGAGCACACTACAATGGACTAGCACACATCAACACCCTCACAAAATGTACAAAATTCTCTGAACAAGTGTGATGCTATTTGAACATGTTTCAAATCTAATATGTGGAATAAATAAATCTTGAAATATTACAAAATGAAAGACAAACAATGTTTACTTCATATAATGAAAAGTACACAATATTCCTCCACTTTAAGTGGAAAGAATGCATTTGTTTCTAAAGAATGACATATCATATTTTCATGTGTTCACATATCCGGTGTTACATGACTAGAAATTGTTCACCACATGATGCATAAAACAATATATGTCAGTCTATATGATAAGTTCTTTATAGATTTACAACATTTCACCTTTTTGTAATAAACGATTTAAATTATTTCAACTTTAACAATACATATGTATATCTGAGCTTGATTATTTAATCTTCAGCAGATGACACACATGAAGGATTTTTTTTCTACATTTTTGGCAATATGACTCACTCATGCACATGTGTGACAAATATTTTATAATCACAGTCAGCATGTGTGTGTGTTTTAAAGCGTCCATGATTACCATGGCAGAAAAACAAAAAAAATATCACATTTTTATAAAAGGAACACAAGGAGTTCTTTCCCTTTGGTCCTACTACCAGTCTATTTCTGCTGTAGCACTTTTTTTTAAAATAACAAACAGTTTTTGCACACTGTTTAATCTTAAAATATTGCATTAGAACAGCTGCTTTGTTCTCTGTTCATCTGTATGTCAGAAAGCACCAGGAAAATTCACAGATCCACTTCTGCAGTTTTTATACCCTTCCATATTCTACCATCACATATTTTTAAAATGTGTCAAGTATTTCTATACACAGTCATAGATTATCCCTACTCATAAGTCTGGGTTTTTTTTCATGGTCTAGTGTATTCCCTATTCCCAAGCATCTGTAGCTGACAAGCTGCTAGTTCTACACAAAGGAAGGCAAGTCTAGCTTTTAGGGGAAGATCCATTTATACACTTTCAATTACCCATGAATCTGTTGAGAACAGATTTTTAAATGGGAATTTTCTGGGTATGAACTGCTGAAATATCAAGGACAGACCTGCTGCCCTAGAGACCACTGGATCATAACCATGCCCCCATGTCTTTCTCCAGAACAGCTGCAGCGTCCATTCGACCCATCACTCGGAAAATGTTCATTAGGTCTGTCACTGCTGATTCCTCTCTGTGTCTGGCCTCCCATAGATTTAATATGTGTTCTGTTGGGGACTTCTTGGTGGCAAAATACTGCACATATCTACCAAAATAAAGGTATATTTTGCCTGCAATTTATGTAAGAACTATCCTGCAATTTATGTAAGAATTATCTCTCTTTGCCCAAATTTTTTCCTTACCTATCCACTGTAAGTGCCTGTGCCAACATCCTCCAGTCATTTCCTCGTGCGTTGGGTTGATCTAACAACATGCATAACTGATGTCGTATATGGGAAGGCAGCCTAGATGCAGAGAAAAAATGGCATATTATTTCATAATTTTTTTCATAATATCTAAAATGACACAATTTTATGTGTAGGAGATTTGACCAAGCATGGTTCTGCATACCTGAAGTTGCTAGGGTGGGGCTCTAGGGTTAACATGGAGCTGAACCCCGAGCTGGAATTAGTGGTCACTGTTGACGTCCGTCCTTTCAATGTTGATGACGGAGTGGAACAAGATGGAAGCTTCTGCAATTGATCATACAGAAAATTAAAAAGAACTCTTTATTAGAATTCTGTGACATACTACAATACCCTAGAATTCAAGGTGTACAATTTCTAAAACTAATTAAAATGTCACGAAATTTCTTGCAGCTAATTTCACCACACTATGACAAAAGGTTAGATTCGTGATTTCTTCAGAACTGTGATCATCGGATTTACAGGTAACAAATTTCACACAAGTACTTTGGCTGAGAGCAATGAACACTTCCAATGCAAGAAAGGCTATCAATTTTAGAATTCTATCAATATCTTTCTTTCAGATAATACTCTAAGTTTCATAAAGCATTAAGATACATTAACTTTTTCTTATCAAAATGAAAGTCTTAATACTGTATTGAATTGTCTATTTTTAGGAACCCTATCTGGGTTAATTGTTATATGTATGCCTCTGATCCCTGGGCTTAATAGTACGGTCTTTGACTGGCATAAACATTAACCATATAGTATTGGGCATACCTCTTTATTAAAGTTATTATGGATGTTGAGGACTTGTCGATTATTAAGGATAGCCTTCTGATAGACCTGTATCTTACAGCTGACATCGGGACTGGACCCTTCCACCAGCTCCAGGGAAAAGGAGCAGTGAAGATGATTCTGATTCCCACTCCAAATGTGCTGGAATGGAATCTCCTGCAATAGAAGGTAAAAGAGTCAAAAATTTAAACATAGAGCAGCCATGATACATATAATTATTAGAAAAATCTGTCACTTTCAAGGCCATATAGAAAAAACCTCATAGGTATAAAGGTTCAGGACTTGGCTAGTTGTCTCAAATTTGAATGTTAATTTTAGGTTTCAAGTTTCATTAAGACCAATACAATCTTATCTCAACTACCACATAATAATCAAACATTGAAAAACGTATCATCAAGTAAATTTGGGAAAAGAAATTATTGGATTGAAAGAAAGATATTGGTTAAAGATTATCTGTTGAGATCCGACTACTGATATAACTTGCTGTAGGGACTGGTATATATACTATTACACCTTGCTAAAAAGAGGACAGTCACCTGCAAGATAAATAGACAGATTCTCCTCTCATAGAAAAACCAGACTAGATCCAATTTTCCCAATAGGTTAAGGGTGATCTAGTCGGACATTTATATTTTGAAAGGCTTATTTTTCCAAACAATTATCCTAATTGTGTACAATTTAAGTCCTTTTTATCCAATATAAAATGACAAACTTTTCCTTATATCAGGGCCCAGTAAACCATTATACGCCATATGTGGTGTACTATATTACTCCTAGATGGGAATATATTACTCAAAACTTCAAAATTTTCAACAAAATGACATGAAATTGAATCTTTGTGTGATGGATATTTCTATCCTGAGCTGTAATAGGTCCAATAATTTGATTTTTTTTTTCATTTTCTTCTTTCAAAAATTACTAGTAACGCCACATGCTATTATATCAATAGCCTAAATTTCCTCTCCATGACAACTCCCTCTGTTTTTAGTCTTTGACTTCTGATTGGGTCTTAATTACCTCAATGGTCCATGTGACAATTGAATTATAAATATGTCAGAAACATGAAATTAGGCATGGATAATCAAATTACATTCAGGCTGCATATATGACATATTTATTTTCTTTTCATAAATTTACCATATCATTAATCATAGGGGCCTTCATCTTTCACCAACTGCTTCAAAACAAAGAAATGAAAATTTTTCCTTGCAGTTGAAAATTGGATTGAACAAAGCACAAAGGGCATAAATCATAATCAATTGTGCGTTTATAAGGTCATGCGTACTGCTGCATCTGTCTCCAAACATGATCATGGAATAAGAAATGCTGGCTGCATGCTCAGACATGGCCAATAATAGGCAGCTGAACTTTATCACATCGTTCGTCAATATAGATTTTTTTATCCCATTGTTTTTATTAATTCATTTTTCATGCAATATTACACATATGTACTTAAAAAAAAATTCTAAAATTGGAATAATTTTTTATTTCATTTGAATCATTAATTTCAATTATTTTTCCACCTGCTGGAAGATGACTGGCATCTTAAACATGAATGGATTAAAAGATACATTTTTTCAGATTATGATTGTAAATTAGAGACCTGCGTTATTTTTAAAAACATTTCCAGACTTGAACATTCCTGACTGCAGACATTTTGGCACTTGTATGTTTTTCTAGCAGATATTAACACAAAGGTAATTTGACGTTTCCGAATGTTTGTCCTACACTTTTGGAGGTTAAGAAGAATTAGCAGACTATAGCTGTGTCACCTTCATAGGACAATGTCTGAGGGTGACCAAGATAAATGATAGAGTGATTGCCCTTTAATGAGGCAGACGTAACCTTCACAAGTTTTAAACTGTCACCCATCAGACAATATTCTTTGTTATCAAAACCACAAATTCCAAATAAGATATTTCAATTCTGGAACACGACTTTATATAATCCAATATGGGTATTTATATATTTTAATATTAATTCCCACATATGTTTCTGTCCATCTAAAGATGAGTAGGAGTTTAAAAAAATTATTTATTTTCAATTGCTTTCTAATGAGGCATTAAATTGGGGGGGGGGGGGGGGGGGGAGGGCTGCTGATTGTATATAATAGTTTTACTAATTGAAATGAAAAATTTTCCTAGAGATTGCACTCATTGTGCAAGTGCTTGATCCCCCCCCCCCCCCAAAATGATTACAAAATTGACTTCATCAGGTTTGAAACTTATCAAAAACCCTTATTTTTCTTAATCTGTAATTATAGCTTTTGCTCTGGAGGCTTTTAGAAAGCCAATTACAACATCCTTTCTAATTTAATATTCATGACTGACTGAAAGAGACACCAAGATAAAATCTCGAAATATTTCTCTGATTGCTGTGCATAGTAATGGCCAATTTCTATTGTTCATGTGATACTGCAACTTCCCTCTTTTGAGATGATTGGTCTGCTAATTATAAGTTTACTAATCCATAATTTTGCTACATTTTCTATTGTCAGTCTCTGAAGAGGCAATGAACAGAGAAATTGACTATCACGTCTAATGCGATAATATAAATCAATATCGCTTCATTTTGACTTGAGAATAATTACAGATATTGGTGAAAATTATATGAACCTTAGTTGATTTCAATGTAAAGATCATAAAAGCTTTGAAACATAATCTGATCAGATGTTAATATTTTTTTTGGTCTGCTGAAATGACATGGAAATGATAGGACAAGCATGTGACCCAGTCATTTCTGATTACGGGTGTAAAAACTCAAGATTCAAAGTTATCTTAGCACACTGTCATGTATTTTGTAACATGTTTCCAAAAGCTCTGATCACTTTTGACACTTTTGTTATTGTACTGAATTCAAGGAGAATAGAATATCTGTCATAATTTCCTCTCCCATTTCTGGAAGGTGTGAGACTTTCAAGCATATCAAACTCATTGACAATAATTATCAATTATGAAGAAGTCCCCCAATCACATTTGTACTCAATCTCTTAATTGAAGACAGAGCTTATCATCCTTCACTTGCAAATATTTGCAAGAGTGGGCAGTCCCCATTACAAATGAACCTTGGGACTAATGGGGCGATCTGTTATTTCACATTTCCCCCCAGCTTATTTAGCGGACATGTGCATTTAGCGATAAATGTGGGTGGGGGGTGTGGCAGGCAATCACATGGCCTTAATTCAAGCAGACAAAAATGTCCATAAATGCAGGTTCCCTTTAAAGTGTGCTGTCATTTGCTACGAAGGGGGAATTCAGGAGATTAATGTCCCCAGGGATAAACTGTTTACACCCAAACATAGTGCACTTCATAAATATCAAATTGATTTCAAAAGGTGCCCCCTTGTGTTGGTTTATAGTGCTTTTTATGTGGTATTGTCAGACTCCAAGATGTGGTTGGGGGGTTTGCATTGTCTGCATGTTAATAGAAGTTTGAGTAAACTGATTCCTTTGTTTATCTGATTGAATTCTTTGATTTTTATCACTGATCATGAAATAAAAGCATTCATGACTGACAAATTTAATGTTAAAACTGTAAATTAATTTCATAATGTGTTATATTTCAATGTTTTCATCAAACTTAATTTGATACTTTTGTAAAATCCTTCCTGTTGATATTCTATATTGACAGTAGAGTAACATTTCTTGACCCTTTTTGGACCAATTTTCAGAGTCCTATCACAATATTTGTTCAGACAAATAAAAATTACAGAGCTTTTACGTAACTGAATAACCTTATGTCTAATCTTGGAAATGTATACTCTTTGGTAATTTTATATTCTGTTTTGATCTGGCTTAAATTTCCCTTTTTTAATTGAATAACCTACATTTCTTTATCAAAATGTCTGTCAAATAAAAAAGGATTCTTTTAACTGTCCTAGATTTAATAATACAAAGGTGAAAGAAAAAGTCATGGAAGATATCAAAATTCTAGCATAATTTTTAGGTTAAATTAAACAGTATATGGATGTGCAGATATGCCTTGCAAATATTTTATTCACTTGTATTAATTGACATTTTATTGCACATAATGAATTGTAAAACTGAACTTGAAAAGTCCTAAAAAATAAATATCTTATATGATCTGTTATGTGTTATGTTAGTTATCTAGTAATCAGCAGTCAGCTTGTCCATTCTAATCTTTTTACAATTATATAGTTATAGTTACCTGGTGCTTTAACTGAATAGTTACCTGGTAGATAACAGACAGCATAATGTTTTACATTATTACATTACATGTAATAATTACCTGGTAGTTGGCAGCCAGTTTGATCCTCAGATGTAATGATTTACAGTGTTTTTATATTATTACATTTAATAGTTATCTGTTCCTTTGTTGCGATGGTTATTACAATATTACATTTATAGTCACCTGGTAGTTTGCAGCCAGACTGTTCCTCAAGTGTAATGATTTACAGTGTTTTTACCTTATTACATTAATTGTAACCTGTTCCTCTGATGTAACAATTTTTTTTACATTATTACATTAATATTTACCTGATAGTTGGCAGCCAGCTTACTCCTCCAGCCTGGCGTCAACTCCTCTATTGTAAGACACAAGTTGTGTCCACCATCTTGGAATGGAATCTGCTTTGGCTTCTCTAATAACCTGCCTCCAAACTTTCTCTCCTCCTGCATTACTCCCTACAATTACAAATTATTACATTAAACTTCTACTACAATTTACATGGCAGTGCAATCATTTTTTAAAAAAAAGTCATTCTATGGTTTCTTGTAAGACCTATTTATTAAATTCAAATTAGAAAATTCAACTTTCCCTATATTTATAAAATATGTGATTTAAAAAATTATTCATGCCGTTTATTTTGCAAAAAAAAAAAAAAACAAAACAAAACACATTTTTATATGGTATAAGGCATTGCATTGTCTACCTCTAAGGCATCATGGGTGTCCTCAACAACATAGACCCGTATACTGAAGTCTACAGATGGGGGAGTATTGGAGGCAAAGGCTGCTAGGCGGAGGATTTTGACTGGCCTTCCACCAGGCACTGCCTCTCCTATCAGAGTATACCACTGCATGTGTTCTGTCATGATGTGACACTGGTTCGGGTCAAGTTGTGCATACACTTGAGTGTTTATCGTTTCTTGTCCCAGGGTTACCATTTTCTGAGAAAGAAAAGTGATTCGATTTTATGGCTGGTTGGAATGATATCAGAATAATTATTAATAATTTGAATTGACCACAAATGACAAATGTAAATGGATAGGACAGTGTCTGGACAGTTTTGTTACTAGCCAATCCTCTGTGCCTGCTATAAATCATATAGTATTTTCTGTAGAAACTTCCCACAAGAACTGCCAGGGGAGGTGTAGGGTCACTCCGACATGTCCATTTTTATTGCTGAATTATGGGATAAATGATACCATGTTAACCACAAACAGACCAATCTGACAATTTTCCCATTCCCAGACTACATCTCATCTTTCTCCTATCTACAATGTAATGCCATAATGCCAATTCCTCGAGTGGACATTTACTGCACCAACCAGGAAAGAGAGGAAACCCTATATCAGCAATAACTATCATTGAAAACAACGTGACCTCATCTCCAGATCAAATTTTGCCTATTTTCTCTCATTGTCTGACCCAGAAAATCAATTTATCTACCATTTTCAACTTCTTGTTCCTTGAGGAAAGTTTGAAAAGAACTTTTTTCCTAGAAAATATCTTATCAACACACAATGTGGAGAGATCTTCGTCTGATCTAGCTCCTATAGTGACAGAATGATAGACAATTGTGCATAGAATACCAAGAAGTAGCAAAATTCAATCGAAAGAAAAAGAAAATTTGGAACTTCATGTTAAATCTATGTCAAATGCATTGACTTTGATTAATATTTTTGCTGAAAACCCAATTTCACAGTCTTTGATCCAGAGCAGACCTGCCAATAATAACATTATATAAATATTTATCAAGGGGTTGCAAAGAATGTAAGATTGATGCAAATGACAACAGGAAGTTGTGCTTTGCTGCCATCTGTTGTCTATCAACACTGTATCTGTTTCATCCTATAAAAAAAAGCTTTTCTCACATGTTCTGTGTATCACTTTTTTATGATTCAATATCCCTCTTTGATACAAAGCCATTTTCAAAAGCAGAATTTTTATGAAACAATGTATCTGTTGGCTACAATGAAAAATAATCTTCTACCACAGACTCTGATGGCATAAAAACAGGCCGAAATTCATAATCCGTCACACCTTCGCAATCAGCAGACAAACATTTAAAAAAAAATTACAGATCTCACAGATATAGTTCGGAATTGTCATTTACTGCGAACTTTGAAATCCCATCTGCAAGACAGATTTAGACTTGAATTTATTGTCTGGATCAAAAATTTATGTCTGCAATAATCTGTAATTTTCAGTAGTCTGTCTTCTTATATAGCTTGACTTATTGGCATTCTGCAAAAATTATCATAGAAATATGACTGCCTTTGCCAATCAAATTTCATACTTTATGAATTACACATCAACTTGACTTCAAAGTCAAAACCCCCACAAATTAAATGAGTTATGGTCACATATTTGTGGTCTGTAGGTAAGCATATGTCATTTATCCAAATTACCAAGATGTACAGCTATAGTCACTTTTATACCTATCCGCATGTGAATTTGATATTTTGAACATGCTTGCATATAGCAGCATTAAAATAGTTGCAAAGCTAAGAACTTTACTTCTTTCCATTCTATCATTACTGGTACTCGGATCACTCTAGCAACTCAACATAAAGTGAAATAAACTTAAGAGGGGAGGGGGGAGGGGGGGGTAATCTAAGTTTTTGGTCTTCTACTTTGACTTACCTGCCAGCAAGGTGCTTCTTCTGGCTGTGTATCACTGTTATAAAGAGAAAGCATCCAGCCACCCTGCCTCATACTAGCACAGTGATGGAAGGACAAAATAATGGGCTTCATCAGGATCCCGGGCAAATTAGGCCCACACACTATAACTGGGCTGACAATTGTCTGTCCATCTGAAATTAGTATTCACATAATGTGTGATTAAAATCATTTATGTATTAGCTATTTAGAACACCTGTACTCTAGATAGCTGACCCAGAACCATTAGTGTCAAAGATGTCTGCCGAGGGATTATCAGTACCAATCTACTTTAAATATTTCTATATGTTCTTCTCCAAAATGTATATCATTTTCAACTTTGGATGAGGTCTGTGTTAACCTGCCTTCTTTACAAAGCTTATCACAAAGTGATGCAATAAGATAATTCACGATTGCATGAAAGAACACTATATATAATCAACATTATCCAGACCTCTACTCCAGAATGCCTTCCTCCAGAGTGCCAAGAGGAAATGGGATTTTTTTTTATCATTTTGAAAAGCCATAAAATATGACAAACCCATGGGACATCCCAGTGTTTTTTTTCTTAGTTTAAGGCTGAAAAAATGCAAAGATTACTACATTTACCACTGCTTTTATTATTTTTCTGTAAAGCAATATCTGTAATTCTGCAATATTTGCCTGTACTGCAGGAAAACCCCTTCTTGTACATAGACAAACAATAACAGTGTCATCTACACATATAATACAGGTTTAAATTCAGTAACCAGTTTGAAATGAGATTCTGATAAGAATACAATGCTTTCTTTCATATTTCAGGCAAAGCTCTGTAAAACTCAAAAGCAGACATTGCTTTCCCAGGCAAGACAGAATTTATCATGAAATTTGAACAAAAAAATTTTGTCACATTAGATTTGAATTACTTTTTTCCTACAGATTATCATATTTTTTCCCCAAATATCAGATTATAAAGTTTGAAATTTTTTTCTTGAATTATTTTGTTCTATAGCCACTGATCTTTTGAACTCTGTTCTAATCAGTGGAAATCTTTTCTAATTTTATACCCATAAATCCCGATAATGATATTACAGAAATTAAATGCTATGATCTCAGACTACCCCCATATGAGTCTTGTGCTTTCAGGCAAGTAGAGCAAGAAAGACAGATCTTTTGTTAGACAGGCCTACACCATTTACAGCACTAACAAGTGCTAAAATGTCATTGTAATTTATTTTTTTCAAACGAATGAAAAGACTTCTATTGTGTCCATTTTGGATAGTGTCCTATGGAAAATTTCTCCTTTTTATTGAGTGCACTACCTCTTGTTAAACAAAATAGAGGGGTTCTTACAAGCACCTGCAAAGTGCAAACTGAGCTTTGAGATTTTGTCATTGAAAATGTTCTCAAAAAATGCTTGAAATGAGATATTTGATTAAAGGAGCTCCAACATATGTTTCATTTCCAATGTTTGAAATATAAAATCTATATATAACGCAGCAATTGTAATGAATTTTGTGGTAAATAAATTGTGCATTGTTTACATAAAAGGCACAGGTGCACATCTGATAAAGCAACAGCAAAAGATCTTGAAATTTATGAGAATCCTGATGAGGGTTTATATATTGGTACTTAACAGTGAAATAGGCACTTCTGGAAATCAACAGTGTTTTCAACATCTTGCTAGATTTACAGATAACAGCACAACTTTACAATGTGAGAAACTTCTGAAGTATATCCCCAATTCTTTAATCCATTTTTGCTACACACCTGAAATCTTTGGTCTGTTGGTGTCATCCCGCCACACTCCCAAATAGAGTTCTGCTTCGTGACCTTTCTTTATAGCACCTTCCGGGATGGTCATACATACACCTAAAAGAGGCATAATTTCATTAACAAAAATCTACCTATACATAGCTTAAACTTTAAATCAACTTTATCCTTAGTTTTATCATATATCGCTTTTCCTCTAGCTTTCCAAATCAAAAGTTATGTCACCCTGAACGAATTTGGGGTGACATATTGCTATAATTTGACCTAATGTTGTCCTCAGAGTCCCCACAGATAGCTTGTTGTCCCCAAAGATAGCTTGTTGTCCTCAGAGTCCCCAAAGATAGCTTGTTGTCCTCAGAGTCCCCAAAGATAGCTTGGACAATCTTAATGAAACTTCACTAATGATAAAAACAAGTGTATCTGTGCAAGAATTAACATTCAAAATAACCACTGTTGTCATGGAGGAAAGGTGGTTCAGGGTGACATATGCTATTGCTTGCATTACAAAATTACTAGTTCTAATTTTTTTTCCTTTCAAGTGTCTATCTGCCAACTTCAATGCAATGGAAATTGGACATTGGTACCAACTTACATGACTCTGGTAGAACCAGTTTGCCACCAGTGTGATTGAACGACCCCCAGGTCACAGCCTCTGAGTCGGCATTGGCTGGTAGCTGCACTAAAGACATGGACTGTCTCTCCACCACATTAGGTGGAGTGGGTGGTCCCATACTCATTCCTAAAGGAGTGTTGGGTGGAGGCAGCTCCGGAGAGGATCTATTGGGCATGGATCCATTAGAAAGTCTGTGATCAGAATATATGGGCAATCCCACATCTGGTTTGTCATAGATGTTTTCCACTGGGGGGTAGTTGTTGTTGGGAGTGTCTACAGAGGGACTAGGGGAGGCACTGTGATGTGGAAAAACCACCACCTGCTGGGTCAGGTCTGGTTGTACTGACATCATATCTAAAATTAACAACAGAATATGAGGAGCAATTTGACAAAGAAATATTGTTATATTGGCATCTATTTTCTTGAAGGATCTGAAGATAATGTAGAAAAACAAAGATGAGAAGTAATAATTTGGCAAAATAAATAAAGAAAATATCTCAACATAATCCACTTCATGAAGTGCAGATGCAACAAGGATTTAAGAACTTAATGTAATTTCTTTTTCATTTCCTTAGGAAGGGTGTTTTATGGCATTTTATTTCATAGGATTGGTTTATGAGCTTTATGTAAGAAAAACATCCTGATTTTAGTTATGTCAATACTGATACAATGTATTAAGAGAATATAGACAGGTGGTGTCATCAATGATGAGATCTCTATAGTAACAAATAGTGTCACACTCGCGCATGGCCATATTGTCGTTATGGAAACCATGATTACAAAATTAAGGTACCCAGAGGTAGTTTGGATTATGACTGTAGAATGAGAACTCCAAATCAATATAATAGCTACACATATAAGTTAATTATCACCTAACAGCTTTCATGTTCATTATTTTATCACAAATGGACAAGACCGATACCCATTTCAACACCTTTTGTAAACAGGCGTTACAGCCAAAAAAATATCTTTATAAACACTTATCCAGAATCACCTTGCACAGAATCCTATACTGGAATTCACACCTCATTTCACGACCCAGTGAAATTTTTAAGACACTGTTCAGAGGTTAGGAGCAGTGATATAACAAATAATTCTTTGTAATCTTTCAATTCTCTCCCCAAAAAATTGGCTTTATTTAGTTACAGGCTTGCTGCTCATACAATTTTTATTGCTTCACCCAGACACCAGATGTAAATGATCCTTTTACCTGGTGTATATTGTGTGTATACCTGCACATTGTGATAGATCGAAACACCTGTAGAAGGTGGATTATTTTCCACCTGGCTTGCTTCTTTTTGTTCATGGTGTATTATCATATCTAGTTAAAGGGTTTATAATTTCCCTCCTCACATTTTGATAGATGAGAACGACTTGTCATCATTTAATCACTGAATTTTAAATTCAATGGAAAAGATAAACAAGTAGTAATTTGGAGATATATTCACCACAACATATGTGTTAGAATTTTTTTTTTTTGTAATATAGATACTGAAAAATCTACAAGTGATTACATAATTTTACTTCAGATTCATGAAATGTATCAAAACTAATTCTAGTGTATGCATACATAATCTAAAGAATTTAGTAATAAATCTCTTAAGGTAAATACACATTAAAACATTTATTGTTCATTAAAGAGTATTTTTTAACATAGCAAAAGTAATATTTGACTGCTGTATAATCTTTTGATTCTTTTTTGAGCAGTTTATGTCTATAAGGGGGTTGTTTAATCCTTCTGTGTAGTAACAGCAGAAATCTCTACCTTGTCCTGTCTTGTTCTTTTTCTCGCCATTATTGCCCAGCGTAGGAATATTTCCTGCAAGGTAACCTAAAATAAAAAATAAAACATCACTGAATCAAATAGCTACAAATCACGATTTTTCCCACAAGTAAAAATTTATATTGCAGAATAACAGTACATCAACTAGTCCTAAAAGCCATTTTCTAAATAAAACAGACAATCCTCGTAATATTTTTCCCATTCTCTTTAATAGTTAAAGGATGGATGCAGGTAAAATAAAATTCAATACATTCCACCCATTTATGGAAAGACACTAACTGAACCTTTTATATGATGGATCTATTGGTAGAATAAACACTGATATTACTATTAAAGTCAATTTTCAAGACTATAAAAACTCCGAGATAAGTTAAGTATATATTGCTGTTTTAATACTCATTAATTCTGATGGATGTATACACTGCTTTTATAAGTCAAAACATGCATATAAAAGTCTCCTTTGATAGAATGCAGCATTTTTATTTCTGTCTCCTGTCATTTTCAATATTTTACAGGCACAGGTGTGTATTTAGCCATGCCAATCTACATCAGTTAAACTCTTTTACTTATTGGTCAGTTTATGGTCTCAGAGGAACATTTCATTTGATATCAGCTTCTACAGAGTTTGAGTGATGAGTAGTCCAGCTTTAACACCTATGTATGAATTAATGATGTTCCCTCAGATAATGGCTAAACTTGACATAGCATTTAGCCTTTCCATTATTTGAAAAATTGATGAAGCTAGCACACACACACACCTTGCCTAACACAGGAGACTAATGAATATCTCACTTCATTAGAGCCTTCAAAATAGGACTATTTTATTATCCATTAGTCTACCTTTTAGGTGTGAATTACTTAGATACTACATCTCATGAAAGTATTAATTAATTAAAATAATTTTGCATGAGTGACACAAGGGTGCATACACTGCTGAAATGTTTAAATTTTCAATCAGTGAAATATAATATCAAGTAGAACAAATGGATTAGGACAGCCACATCACCTTGTCTTTATAGTATCCAGTTGGTATATTTAATTTTTTTTGTGACAAAATATGACAACACTACATGTATAACCAGGTATTGTATATATATCTAGAGAGAGAGAGAAAGAGCTTTAAATTGATGTGCTATATACTACGCTGCTCAAGAAATAAATTTCTTACATATTTTTATGCAAGAATTCTGTTACAGCAGTAAAGCATGACTTGTGTTCCAAATGAAACGAGTAATTAACAACATCCATCATACTTCATTTTTCTCTGTCAAACTTATCGAAGAATAGCTCTTATTACGGAAAATTGTGAATGTTTAAGTTGCTCTGTATAAGAATACATCTTTTTATTCCACTGAGACAAACTTATAAAACAACAACAATTCTCAATTTATAAAGATCAAAGTTTCCCTCGATTCCATAATTTTTAATACAAATTTCTTTTAGAAAAAATATCACTGTACAGACAAATAAAAAAAAAAACTTTTGCCAGAGAATTGTACAGGAAAACATTTTGATTTATATTTGATAAAAAGGAAAACAGACCTATGAAATTTCATATCTGTCCTAAAGTATAAAAGGGCTAAGTTTTGGAAAGATACTTGAATGAAACCATGGGATGAATTGATCTGAGAAGGAAGCATGAAAATATGAAATTTCATATTTTATCTTAAAGAGGGAGTCATATTAAGTTTGCTGAAAAGAAATGAGACCTAGAATTAACCATTTAAAATTAACCGTGATTATTATTCCAACCTGATAGTGTCCTTAATCCTTAGACCCAATAAAACTATGAGGGCCTCTATAACTAATGCATCAATGTTATGGAATTCCATTTCATAAAGCCAATGATTTTGTCCTTTCAGTTCAGTTTAAAATATTCATATTCCAGACCCTTCAACCAAAGGAAATCCTAATGAATTCCGACACATTTCTCCCTAGCTTCTCCAAAGGATTTAAGACTTTTATTACACAAAATTCTCTCATCTGAAGAATACAAGAAAAAAAGGAGAGCCCACACTTAAAGAGTTTTTTAGAAAGCTTGAGAGCACTTCAGCTGATTTACTGAGTTTTGATTTCTTTTGTTGCAAGTATACCTTTGTGTACACATAAATAAATGTTCCTAGAACTCAAGTTCTTGCAATGTATGCTATATATACCTTGGTTTTGATATTTTCTTCTCAGCAGAAAAACGACAATGGCAATGACTACTACGAAGACAACGACTGCAACACAAAGTCCGATGATCATAATCAGGGTGTCGTTGTTATTGGATGTGTTTGTTGCTGAAAAAAATATGTAAGAAATATATTTCATTTCATCACAATATTATTTTTAAATATTTTAATTTGCCTTAATATGCTTGTGACAATTTCATTTTATTTTTTTTGAACTATGATTCAGCATTACTGAAACCTTTTTTTTGCCAAGTAAAAGATATGCCATACAAATGTAGCTATGTGACATGCAAAGTTTTACATATGTGCTGGGTGGTCCTGTTACTTGTAACAGATTTGCAGCTGGCTTGTAAAGTGGTCACATGACTGATGTAGACAAGAGATGTCTATTTTATGACCCACTAAAAAAGCTTCTTATTAGCTGTAATTACTTAATGGGACATGAAAACTGTGTTTTTGTATTGTTCTAGATGGAAACACAACAACCATTATTCATCTCTGTCAAATGAAAATGTAACCACTTGCAATCCATTCAAAACACTCTGTATTGCCATCGATGATGTTTTTTAAAACCAAATATTTTTCAATTGTGAAAATTTTTGGGGGTGTTTAACAATAAATTTTAGGAGACATTTTAAGAAATTAGTTTGGGGTTTTGTTTTGAAATTTATGTACAAATTTGTGCATAAAATTTTATGACATTTACAGATTTATTTGTGAGGGGTGATATAGATGTCATGTTTGCCAAGATCATTTTACAGGGTGGGGGAAATAACAGGAAATATTTGATTGGCTTTTATCTAACCAAAAAACTCGAACAGACAAATCCATTAGTTTCTTAGACAACATGATATGATAAAACAATATATTTGAACAGGTGGGGGTAAAAACAACTGTCTGAATTAACAAAATCATTTTTTTACTTCTTTCTGTTTTTTTTTTAAGAACTCAAATCTAAATAAATATTTAAAAAAGAGTCAACAACATTTTATCTTTTGCTAGAGATTTTCTTGTTGAGTTTTATTTCATTTTGCAAAATCTGCAACATATGACTTGAAATGAGGAATCAGACTGTTTATCTGTGAAAAATCATATATATGTGTTGTTTTTTTTATATCCTTCCTCCGATTTATGGACAAGATTACAATATTCTTAAAACTTTTCTTTAAAAAATTCTTTCTTTTAATAATAAAGAATAAAGGCAAACACATTGTTTTTCTCTAACAATATCAGGGCCTGTCATTTTGACAAGTTATAGCTTATAAAAGATTGACATCGAGATAGTTCTGCAAAAGCTTGCTCTGGATTGTCTCGACTCGAATTATCTAATTTCTGCATTTTCTATTCTCAGCATTCACAGATGAAATAGCATTTGAAGAACAAACAGTTAACATATACAAAAGATTGCTGGAATGAAAAGATCTGCATGATCATGCGAGATCATTTTTCTCTTCTAATGATAAGTGAAAAATTTGTCTCAGAAAATACATTTTTCTCTTTTTTCTTTTTTTTTACCTGATTTAGTTTTCTTCTTTGCCAAAGCAATTTTCAACAATAAATCAAGCAATTTGTTTTATTTTATCAGGGAAAATATTTCAAACATAAAAATTGTTCAAATTCTAAAGACAGTAGAGTTGAAATGAGAAGATTAAAAGAATTGATATATATGCCTCTGATATTTTAGATTATGTCAACTTTGATTTACCCTCTGTTGAACATGCAGTTTTAAGATAATAGCTCAAGAATAAGATATAATTTGGGGATTCTGATTTTTTCATCAGAATATTGCTGACATTAGTAAACTATTTTGTAAAATAAAAACTGAAATTTTTGAGTGACAAAATGCCTCGTTACAGCTCTTGACAGGTTAAGAGCAATGGTTCATCCTGGTGCCTTGCAAAAACAGTGATTTAAAAATAAAATTGTAAAAATTATATGTCATCTGCTGTCTCATTAATTAACATAAAAAGAGATGACAATTCACATCTCTGGAAGAATTTTCCAGCTAACATTCTTGTTATATTCAGATCCCAGACCACCTGGCTGTTGCTGTAGACTGGAAAGGTTTGGATTGGGAGTTTTACCTTACTTGGATTTACTTGGATTTTACTTTACCTTCTCTGGATGGCTCCTTCTGTCCCTCTGGATTCTGTCCCACAAATCCATGATCCAAATCATCCCTACCAATTCCTTGGCCTGTAAAGAGAAATTCATTATTATTATTTTTTTCATACTGACATGACAATTCATGGACAAACACTGGTAACTTTTTTGCCATCTCTGCTTGCAATATGCTGTCTGTCAAAAAAGAAGGTTTTATAACATTATTAATCAACATATACACATGTACAAGATGTATGAACAAAACATTAATTTGCAGGAATTCTGCATATACAAGTATGGCAGCAGATTCCATGCAGTCATTGCCATAGCAATGCCAACCTAAACCAGTCATATAATGTTGAAGTCAAGCTGCTGCTAAAACCCTTTGACCCTTTGCAATTTCGAGACAAAACAAGCAGAACAGTTGACATTTAATTCATCACAGGACCATCAAACATGGTGGAAAATTGGTACCTTTAGCAGAGGGGTAATAAATATCAGTGTCACAGGACAGCAAATAATGATTCTCTCCAACTGACCAGATGGAAATAGAGTGAATGGACCATAACATATTGATGATTTATTGAGAGTTTTTATTCTCAATCATGTAGTCATAAAAAGTTTACACTCACATGAAGTGTTTATGAGTCAGGAATGAATTGAAATATCAGCAGGTTCATTCAAGTTCAATTCACTATTTCTAAAAAATCTTTTTACCATAGAAAAATAATCTTTGATTCTATGATGATCTACAGTATGTGACTTCTAAAGCATAGAGGGAAAAGATCTATACCTAAGTCTATAACAAGCTCCTAAAAATACAGGTACCTATTTAAGGTCCACATGGGCAGAAGAGGTCATGTCATTTAAAAGAAATTGCTGATTATCAGAATTAATCAACACATGCACAGAAAGATTTGGCTATAAGGAATCAAGTACTACAGTGAGACTAAAAAAAAACAGGCTGAAGTAATTTATAATAAATAACAAAGTATTTGTCTTTATTTATTGTACAACAGATCCATTATGAAAAAAATATGACCACACAGGAGGGTGGAATTCCTTCTTTGCCCAGGGGGCCCGCTGAAGAGCCCATAAATGTCAGTAAACTTTAACTACCTACATGGGTTTTCACTTTACAGAGCTAGCTTTTACATCTTGTTTGTAATAATGGGAATCCTTACATAGTCCACATGTTCAGCCAGCAATGTGTGAAATGATGGACTAGTATACCATCAAATCCCTAGTCTAGCTGACAAAGGACATCCATGTCGCAAAAAAATACAAGAACTAAAAACCTTGAACTATCATGAACGTATTTTGAGCTAGAGAAAAACAGTCGTGACGTAAAGCCACACATACCCATTAATTAATCAACCTCTTTCGCCCAATCAACACTTTTTTTTTTCATTAGCCTTGGGGATTCTTGTACCTTTGGGGACCTTGTTAATTCTTAGCCTCTCGTTACACCAGCACTGGTTTAGCATGCAATATACAAAATTAGTATTGATTTGAGGATCTCTCTGATAGGTACTGTGTGCGAATTTAATATATATTCCATTTGCACCTGATTTCTCTCTATCAGACATTTCAAACAGGTTAAAAATGTGACATGAAAATGTCTCTGCTAATCTCACTTCTGCAAAAATGGATTTGATAAGTTTGTTTTTCCTCTTCTTCTCTTGGAATTGACAAATTTTTCACATTTAAAAAATGGGTCCTTATCAGATCCATTTACTTTAAAATGTGCATTAAAATTCCTGTTAAAATTTTTTCTCCAAGTATACACATTGTGATGTTAGTTCCGTTAAAATTATATATTAGTTCTATGCACTTCCAATATCTTGGTCATGATCTGCATATCTGGATATTGAAATAAATCAAGCTTTTTATATTAGTTTCAAAGGTGTATAAATACATATGAATTATTTTTGAGTTAGAAGTTATCACACTGCATGCTGGGAAGGCTCGGACATGACCTCTCTTACCGTTGCCTGGACTCGAATCATCTGCAATTGTTGGATTAGTTGGGGAAGGACCGAATATCTCTATTCGTTTTCCTATAAACAATAAAACAGGTTCATCATGTAGCTATCTAAATTTCAACTGGAATACTTTTATTGTAAGAAGTATAAATTGAAAAGGTTTTTTTTTTTTCTGAATATTTATTTTTCTAAAGAGCAAAAGAAAGCTAAAATATCAACTGCAGAACATTGTTAGTATTGGCCAACAATACAAAAAATTACACTGAAGTACTGCTGGAACAAAACTATCAAAAATTGCCTTTTTTGTTTAAAAAAGTAATGAATATAAAAAAATTGTCTTCCCTTTGCTAAATTTTATCACTTTTTTATCAACCAATACCTGTGATATAATCTTTCAAAATGATAAAGAAAAAATACAGAGTGTGAATGCTATTACATTTTTTTTTTTTGCTTCAAACTGTCAGAGGATATGATTACCCGTAATACCCGGAAAAATTAAAACCTAATTCTGTGATAAACTTGTTTAATAAATCCTGCCTGCAGACTATTAAGTTAACAAATCAATTGGCTTTCTAGCTTTCATGTATTTTTCTCAGTTGGCCGGAATTAGTATTTGCTGTGATGTTCCCGATTACCATATCTAAATATACTACACCTATCCAATGGAACTAGTAATAGGAGTCTTTTATGAAAAGTCTAGCTGTGAAAACTTAATTAACAAAAATTCTTGTTCAAATCATTCATTGATCTGGGAAAATGTTGCTGACATACTACTTTCAATATTAATCAAGTAACTGCTATTCATATTTATTTATGACTATTTTTAAAAAGCACTTGCAGAGATATATTTACTATTTTTAACAAGCACTTGCAATGACATATTTACTTTTTTCAAAGTTTCAATTACTGCAAGCTAAATTCAAAATACAGTATCAACACCCAGCTTTATCAGAATTCCCTTGGGAATCACTGTAACTAAAACCATTCTGGTCAATTTGAAATTCAGAGATAAAAATCCCCTTTCTCAGCTTAATTAGAAACCTATCAGCCCCACATAGACAAGAAAATACATAAATGCCAAACTCATTTTTGTTGGAGAAGATTTCCTCAAGCCAAGAAGGGGGTCTTTATCTCTCCCCCAAACCCCCCTCACTTCCAGGGGGAAAATTAAATTAGCAACAACATCACTAATTCAACAAGTGCTTCAAGTTTTTTGGAAGGAGTTACCCCTATTTCTTAATTGCTCATCATCTTGTAACACTATCTATGTGTTTCTTTGCCATCGAGAAGCTCTTTTCTAACAACAAAAAGGTTGTTATGGTTTTATACCTGAACAGATCTATTTTTTCCCTGGCATTCAACAACTAATAAAAATTTGTTTCAAGGAATAATACCCCAGGAGATGATGTTTGGGATTTCAAGAACTGGAGAATTTAGACAGTAAATCTGTGCAAGAAATAAAACTTCTAATAACTTTAAAGATAAGTTTGATCATCATGAGACAACATTTCGTTCAGCAAAAATTGACTACACCTTCCTAGATAAAATATATACATATATTCATGAATTAGTTTTTGAGACCTTTATTATATAAGTAGATTCCAATACTTTATGGAGACCAAATCTTTGATTACTAATAAACATTGCAATATTGTATGTGGTATTTAATGATTTTCTGCCGCAATCAGCCAGCAGGCAACTGACATTAAAAAGACAAAAGGTTACAGCATGAAGAGTCACTGTCTCTTCCTGGCACATCCTGTAATCAATTGAACGTCATTGGCCACGGAAAGTTTTCCAATGGGAAATACACTTAAGGCATAAAGTACGACATAAAACCAGTTACTTTCCACCGTAAAATATTGTATCCAACTCAATACTTATTGTTAAGTCAAGAAATTCATGTCAAGATCGAACAACAGATTGATGAAATTTTTTGTTGAAAAGCCTCTCACCTCTGCAAAGCCCTCCAGTACAGTTCTCAGAATCAAGGTCATTGCCTCCACAATGTCTGCCCCCATTTTGTGCAGGAGGGTCATCACATGCTCTCCTCCTAAGATGCTGGCACTCTGGGCTGCAGGTTGACCAAGAGGTCCAAACACTCCATTTTCCATCCACTGAATAAAAACAAAAAAGAATTCTATTCTTAAATATTCAGTGTTCACCCATATTGTTTTTACTGCATAATAATCTGGTAAACATGCATGCAACAACAAACTGCAAATTTGGACATATTACTAATATATATTTTTTGTCGTTATTATAACCACAATTAGCTAAATCACAGCTTGATTTATTGCATTCAAATAAGATTGAAAAAAGCCTTCACTAACAAATAATTGTAACTCAAAGCAAACAAAATATTCACTAAAAAGTTGCAAGTATCTAGAGTGTAATGAAATAAGTCATGCCATGGAGATTTTGTTCACAACAATCTAAAGAGAATGAAAACTCAACACGGAACAAAAAGTACAGAAAAGTAAGGCTTAACAATTATTCTAAAAGTGTAATGCTTAATTATGTCAAACTACAAGAAATAGAGAAACTGGAGTTCGAACTAATCACAGATCTAGATCATCAATATGATCCCTAATACACTATTCATTATAATTATTATTATACACTATTCATTCAAAATCCAGTTGTTATTTGAAAGAGAATGATTAAGCACATGTAGTATAAATATACATGTAAGCATGTGATCAAAGCACACTACTTTTCTTACCTCCTTTTTCTGAAGTAAGCAGTTAAGGGGAGACAACATAACAATTAAATGGTTAACATTAATGTGTTAATAACAATGATTTCTGATCTAATCAATAAAGCTTGCATGCCACAAGAGAGAATCAATTAAACGAAGACTTTTTTTTATTAATTAATTAACATGGAACATAGAAATCATGGTTATTGAGTAACAAAAACAACAATTTTGTGTTAATCGAAATGCAAATAAAATAAGCTTTGCATGCGGAGCTACAAAACAGCAGTAAATGAATATAATTTTATGACTTTGATCTCAACAAATCTCTTCAGATAAAACTATTAAGCAAGCTTTGCTAATTGTAACATGCTTTTTAGTTATTCACTTGATAATACTGAGAGGCATCATTCATTTTCAGCTAGACACGAAATCAATACTGTTACAAAAAATCCAATGCAATAAATTCTCAAACCCATGAAGCTGAACAATATTTTTCGCGTGGTGCAGCGATAAGCACAGAGCATTAACACTGTCACCCTTAGCAAAAGGATAAAACTGTAACAAAACAGAACTGTTAATCTATCGGCAAGCAAAGATTGGGTATGAATAAATTAATGATGCATGATGTGGTTAGAATTCCAATTCTTGGAGGTTTTTCCCCTCCAGGAATATTCTTTGTGAATTCAAATGATTCAATGCAAAGATCATTCTATAAGATTGCAGAAAATGTCATCAATATCGGCCAAATCAAGGTTAACTCCATTGGCTTTTGAGCAGTATTTAGCTTTATTTGATCAATTTATGTCTTTTGCTCAAGCATAGATAGGTATAAAACTTAAGTTTATGGGATCGAAAATGGAAAAAAAAAATCTTGTGCACTTTTCATAAAAAGCTTTCAATTTCGAAATCAGCAGGGAAATTCAAAACTCGGTCAATGAAAGATTCGAATGTTTGCCATTTTATTGAAAATGACAACTTGCACTAAAAAAAAATCCAAAGATTAATTTATTTCAGGAAGACAGTAATGGCTTAAAGATCGGAATTAAGGCTAAACTCTTCCCATCATTCTTAGATGCTCTAATTAACATTGGGCTAAACTTCATAAAATGGACCAAAGCATGTGAGATAACCACCACTTAGAGGAAAATATGTCTCTACGACTTTTTAATGGCTTTACGTCTTATCCTGTGCTTGAAGCATGACTTAAAGCTTTTACACTGATCTTTATTAATATCAGGACTTTTTTCTCTAGCTTTTTTATTACTGATGGGACAAAATGATGTGTTCTAGTTGTCAATTGTTTCACTTCATGATGTAAATGGCTCGGTCTCATGCAAACTTTTTCTTAGTCATCACCCTCTTACGATACAAGCCGTGAGAAAAACTTGCAGGATGAGGCAATGTTCCGATGGGGAAAGGGGCAATTACAAAGAATTACTGCTGGCTCCAAGACTATTTTTCTTCCTTCCAAAATCTGCATATGGTTCAATAAAGCCCTTGCTCATTGGCTGTCAGATTATGTGGCAGCTTCATGGGCCATGCAGCAATTATCTAAAGGAATCTAAACAACTGTGCAACTAATATTCAGGAGTTTTTTTTTTTTCAGATTTAAATGCAAAAAAAATCTAGCTCAAATGCTACAGCAAATTAAGAAAAACATGCCACGATTATACTAAGCAATCTGGACAAGTCACAAGTAATGATCCCTTTCCACGACTCTAAGTGAAAGTTTCATTGGTCAATTGTTATACACACCTGGACAAATGGAGCTGCAGGCATTGTAACTGGTGCTCTCCCCTTCACATTTTCTACCCCCATTGACTGGTGCTGGATTGGTACAAGATCTCATTCTTCGTTGTTCTCCTCGGCCACACTTAGCCGAGCACTCTGTCCATGCACTCCAAGTTGACCAGCTTCCATGACCTAAAAATCAATAGTTTTAAATTTTAAATTATTGATTAAAGTCCATATATACTAAAACTGCTAAAGTTAAACAGATGCTAATTATAACCTTCAAAGTTTCCATATCACCAGATCATAATATTTTTATTTCCGAACCTGTTTGACCTTTAAAGACATACATGTAGCTAGTACTCTTAGTTTTTATGAGCAACCTTGATAATAAGTAAACGTTTTTTGGCCATGATTCTTCTATTAGATTAGTGTATAGTACAGGGAAACTAGTGCTGTGTTTTGCTTCAAGGTTCCATACCCTTTCCGCATAACCATCTCAAAGCAAAAAAAAGACTAGGTCAATTTAACTCAATTATTCTGCCAGACAACCATCATAACATTTTAGAAAGACTTCTCCGAAGCTCAAAGGCTTTTTACAGCATTTGAAGAGATACCAGTCCCAATTACATATCCCTGCAGCTGGCAATTAGTCCATATTTACAGACACAGAACAGCCTCTGCCACCTGAGTATATCCTTTCTTATCCATTCATCCTCCGAAATTAAATCGCCATTTACTTGAGATAAAATCTTAATTGAAAGATAATCTTTGAAAATCCATTTTTTCTTTGATAATAAAGATGCAGGCTTGGTTGAATTTTAAGTAGGATATTAAGTTTGATCTGTGATGCATTAATATAAATGCAGTGTTAATATGAATACCTAATTTTGTGGTCTTTTTTCGGAATTACGTATATTTCATTGTCCCCGTGAGATAGAGCCTATTTACATTCATGAAAACATCTTTATCATTTATCAATGTACAGTTTTACTTGAGGTCTTCATTATGAAATTACATTTTTTCCCTCCCTGTTTATGGGAAAATCATTCATAAATTTGTCACCTTTCAATATCAATTCACTTAGCACCAAATACACACCATTTCTGGTACACACATTATAGAGAATCATGATCTGAAAGCTTACAAAAGCAACCTGATGCTGATATTCTTTAGAATTTTTTTTAACTTGATTAATATTAAAGCTTAAAAAACAAGTGCTCTAAAACCAAATCATTAACAAAGAAGATCTTATACTAAGGAACGATAGCTGCTGTAAAATTTATTTGGATACCACATTACTTGATAAAAATTCAAGTCTGTTTACTTTACACTGAATGACATTGGTTCTTTTTTTAAACTATATCTTTATTCACAGGAATTTCTCTAAATATGGAATATGGAAACATTTAAAGTTGTTAGCTTCTATCATAAAAAAAAGTTTGAAATGCACAGGATAACTCAATGTTACAATACAAACACTCCATTGAATCTGATTTGCATTTTATTTGATTGAGAGTGTAGGTTGTAGAAGTGTATAATGAATTACGTAGAATATGGATGGCTTCCCATAAATCATACAAGATTTTTAGAGAAATGACATTCAACCTACATCTTTATCAAATCATTATTAAAAGAATTTTTGAATTACATCTGGCAGCTGATCATGATGTACTTGTAAACCTTTTCAAATTTTCAAATAGTTTTTTTTTCTTACATTTTTTTTACCCCTGGCCCACCCTCCATTCCAATGTGCACAGTATATCAATGCATCTTTCTTTACAGTTCAAGAAAAATATCATATATTGTCGTTTTTTTGTTACTTTTTCCAGAAGTTGGTCAATGGGCCATTAAGTAAAATTTCCAAGATTCCATTTCTGACCATACAGCACTTGCTTATAATCTATGATATCTATCAGAATTTCAACTTCTTGTGAACTTAACCCCAAAAGTTTACATTATCAAAAATTGTCTTAAAACACATTTCATATCTGTTCTAAAATGAAAGCCAAAGTGAAGGAAAATATTTATCTTAAGCTGTCAATATTTAGGCCTGGGCAGGAAACATTCATCATGGCCTATTTTCTTCCAGGTCAAAGGTTATCCTGCCGTTTCCCTAGCAGACCCCTAAACCAATATGACGAGAAGTCGATGAAGGAAGAAGTCAACAAATCAAATATAGCATGACAAGCTGGCAAAAGGAGTGTGGCAGAAGTGTAAAAATATTTTTTGGAAAATAAACAGTATACAATTTATAGTATTCTGAAATCAAGGTAAATTTTTAAAAAAATGTTTTTGTAAAGGTGTCAATTATTTCATTTTAGTTGAAAATCTTCAACATCACTTGCTGAAATCAAAATGAACATGTTTGTCAAGAAATGACCTTGACCCTTACCATAAACAATAAGTGGTGCCGATTCACTCAGCCTCTTGGCAACTAAGTTTCTAGCTCCACATGTATAGTTGCCACTGTCACTGAGGCGAGCCTGGTTGATGAGAAGGTTTCCTTCACTAGAGATGATGAAATTATCATCATTCTTCACGTTGATCTCAATATTGTCCTTCAACCAAAACACCTGAAAGAAGAAAGAGCCAAAATATGCTAAATTAGAAAATTAACATCAAAAGTTATTAACTTTTATCATATTATGCTCCATGTTAATATTTGTCAGTCATATTCAAAACTTAAACAAATTTCAATGTATCACTATTCAATATTGCACCCGATTCAAAATTTGATCTGACTGTATATGTTTAATGGGAGTATATCTCTATCTTGTAATCTCAAGATACAGGTGCATTTGATCTACACAGGTTTTGAGGATCAGGATTTGCTTGTGTACAAATTGCAGTTGCAAGCTTTTTTTGCAAAAATTTATCATTTAAAACTTCCATCTAAATCCCTTCCTGTTTGTCAGAAAGCAATCCTCAGAGAGTTGAAAGCTATTGAATCAACAGTGATTTAAGAAAAATCTAATTTGCTTAAAAACAAAATTGTAAAAGTCTTGAAGAGCACTAAATATCTAATACTAAGAATAAAACATCAAATAAACAGAGGATTTTTTCAGAGCTATTTGGAAATGAGAAACTGACAAAGAAGCAGGCAATTTTTTAGCTAAAGAGGGTAATCATTGATCCTATCTTAAAGTTAATACAGCACAATGACCACAAATTGCTATGAATGTTATCCCCCAACATTAAAATTGTTGATGAATGGATAAAATTTTAATGTTTACTGAGGAACAAATGGCCTCAAAGAATGTCTAAAGGACCATCATGGATGTTAGCTGAGGTATCCAGGTGTAAAATTACAATACAGAGCTGACATACAGAACACAATATACCATAATTCTTAAAGACCAAAGACCTGATGAAAAAAGCTCGATTTCATATCCAGTAATGCAATCACCCCATTTCCTTTTCTCGAATTCTTCTCGGCCACTGTGTTTTGTTAAAAAATCTATCAGTCAATCTAAGAAAATGAGGGATCTAAACAACAGTTATGTACAAGGTGACACTCGAATGAACCCAACCTTTATGTTCAACATGTCAAATTTTTGACGAATTGACAAAAACTGTACAGTATTTCACAGAGGAAACCCATCTGCATTTGGGTGGCAAGAAGGCGTCAGATTTTTGCCGCATTCAAAATCAGTGCCCCTAAAAGCACAAGTCTGGTTGTCACAAAAGCAATGACAAGTTCCTCAGGTGTGTTAAGTTAGGGGTGATACAGGACTTGATTACGAACTGTTAGATAGGAAAATCCTGATACCTGTCAACTAGGCTAAGAACAGGTGTGGGGTAGTTAAGTGTTTTAACAGGTAAAAAATTATCCCAAAATAAGCTGTTTTGATATTGACACTTTAAAAAGACACTGACAAGAGGTTAGAGATTATAAGCCTATATATATTTCTGACTGTCAACAACTGCTGTGATCAAAAGTTTATGTCATAGTGTAACATTGGAATGACACTTGTATGATGAAATGCAGCCCTTTTTCCTTTTCAAACATGATAACATTCTCCCAAAATTGACTTTCAAATATGACAAATATAATTCTTAATTCAAAAATTTATTTTAATTTCATTTAATATGAAATTTCAATTCAGCAGTTCTAACTAGAATTAACTTCCTTCAATCATAAAATTGATATGAAAAAAATGAAATTAAATTACTGTGTACTTTGTCAACTTTAAATGCTTCTAAAACTCTCTTTGTAGCATTGAATAAAAGTTCTGACTGAGAATTAACTTCATATTAAAGAACGTCATATTTTTGAAAGCGATAACCTATTTTGATTTTATTTAAAAGAAAATGGTATAGTTAAATACAGCTTCATCCAATTATTATATCACATCCATGAATACTAGCTGACAGTTCAGTTCGTGGCAGGAAGATTTCAACAATATAAAAGCAATTATTCAACAGTAATGATTGGGCAAGACTTCCGATTTATTGAAGTTAGACAAAAAGACATGGTGTTTCTGGCCACCCATTTTTCTATAATTTACTTGTTGAACTGCATTATAAAATTGCTGCAGCTTTAAAACATATAAAATATTCGGAATCTTAAATATGACCGCATAGTTCTACAGCCTCATTTTATGGTTTAATTACAAATTTCATAAAGACCACAAAAGCTGAATGAATGAAATGTTAAAAGGCATTTATTGGTACACTTATTCCTAATGTGGTGTGATTTAGGTTTTTTTGTTTTTTTGTTTTTTTTTGCAGTCTTCCTTACATCAATGACCCAGGTTAGTTATAAAAATTAAGAAATCAATCAAGTTCTCCCCCTCCCACGTTTTTTAGACACAGGAAAATACATGCTGGAGAGAAAGCCCGGTCTCTAAAACAATGCTCTGCAAACTTGATGCAAAAAGGGACCTGTAATCTTCTGCAAACATGGCAACAGGTTTGACATTGGCTTTGATCCACAACAGACTTTATGTTGTGATACAAAGTTCTAAAGAAACCTTTCTCACAACTCAATTAATGGTGGCTTTTTAAGAAGTGTCTTTTACGTAAACAGAGTTTTAAAATGTATGTGTATATCTGTGAGATTTGACCATAAAAGCTCTTTTGTGCTCTCTGAACTAATCTGGTAATTCGGAAATTTGTTGGAATTGTATATACCTCGGCAGGTGTTCCAATAATAAAACTCCCAGAAACCTGATGACAGGTGAAATTATATCTAAAAATGTTAAGAAAAAAGCATTGTTTCCAAACCCTGGTGCATATGCTAATGCAAAACTTAATGCATAAAACCCATAAAACTCCCCGTGTAATGCAGATTGTAGAAGAGATATTCTGTAATTTATGTCAATTTTACCTACTTCATACTCAAAAATTTTCATAATTTTCCTTTTCCATTTGGCCTAATGTATTTTTTAAACTAAGGATTATTAACACACACATATTTATTGAATCTTTGGATCTAAAAAATGTAGCAAGACTTTTTCCTATAGCACTTAATCCTTGAGTGAAATGGTTATTTGCTAGCATGCATGTGGTGTTTGTTGTCAAGAACTTTTTTAAGGGATCAACATTCAGCAACATGCTACGCTCTCTGCTTTAACTCTTGTTTTATCTTTAGTATGGATTGGTCTTGCACAGGCAGATACCATGATAATGTCACAAAACAATCTCTAAGGTCAAAATTACTTAAACCATAATTCATTACATCCAGTAAAATTCTCTCTCTCTCTACATATTTTGGTGACAATTAAAGGAAGACTTCTTCCTTATGTGTCTTTGGCAGAAGCATGTTTCACTGTAAATTTTGTTCATTGGCCTACCTCTGGTAAAGGTTCACCCAGTGGAGGTAAACAGGACAATTCTGTATCAGTAGACACTTTAGCTCTGGTCAGCAATGGTTGTCTTTCAAATCTCTTTCTCAAGACTGGAAATAAAACACAGATATAATAATTAGCACAGTATCCTTAACTAACACAATATAGTCTCTGTGTATGTCTTGCCTATTCATTTACATGTATTTTAGGACAATTTCAGTACAATTAATAGCTAACAAAGATTTATAACTGAAGCTCAGTTTTACAAAAAAGATATCATTGAGATTGTATCCTCCTCTTTAGTGAAATAGAAGCAAGATTAGTGGGACTGAGGGAGTGGGAGGAAATTTGTTAAATCTTCTGAGGGTCCTGAACAAGGAAATCATCAGTTTCAAAAGCTTCCAACAATGACAGACATAGCCAAGAATATCCCGTGTAATGGAAGAGTTGGAAGGTTTTTTTGAAATATAAGAATAAATGTCTGACCTCCTCTGCTATTACTTAGAAGTAGCAGTTGCTTTGCAAATAAAACTACCTTTTATTTCAGCAGACATTTAGTGCTGTAGAGGGAAAATTAATTTAAAAGGGTTCATTGCAAAATTTGCACCTTGCTGTAAAGAAAGGCAGAAAAAAATAGATAGCAGCTCATTCAAATTGGAATGGTGGTAGTCTTTTTTTTGTATTTAAACAGGTGCGTGCAATAAAATTTTTGGTTGTGGAGAGAATGCACTTCAACTGTTTGAATTCAGTTCCAAATTACACCTAAGCAAACACTGAAACATACTGAATGTTACCTGCCGCATTGTCGTAAACTCATAAAACGATGCCAAGGTGAAAATTAAGTTCAACATCTTCTTGTATAATGTAGTAATCGATTAGAATTTAATTTATAAGGGGGAGGGTTTTAAAATAACATTTTTTCATACACAGATTCAATTATCCTACACCTAAGCATTCTTTGACAGGCACTGTTTACTTAAGGTTCTCTGTACCAACTGCAACAGAGTGCAAGTCACGAACAAGCACAGAATTATTTCTTGCCAAGGCAGGACAACAAACAGTTGGTAACTTTTTTAACTTCTGCTCCAAATATAATCGAAACTATTTGGTTAGGACACATTTGCAAATGACTTTCCTCCAAAAGTCCATGATGAATTTCTTTTAAGGTCAAAATCACCAAAAGGAATAGGTGCTTATGACACCCTAACACTGCCAGGTTCTATTTAAGCTTATTTTTTGAGCCAGTGATTAGGAAATAATTTCTTTTGACACACTGTGGGGCAATTACAAAATCAAATAGAAAAATGTGAATAAGACATCTTGTATGAAATTTAAGGAAAATAGCATCTAAGGGGATGCTAAATGAAGCATAGACACCACAGATATTAAATTGAATTTTTGTCACATTAAAATTTGGTTGTAATTAAGGTATTTTGAACATTAAAGGTTATTCATTCCATTTTCATTGCTTGTTCCACCCCGTTCATGAATGTCCCTTATTGTGTTGTGTTTTTTTTTTGTGACTGGTTGGTGTATCAAGTTCACTGTAAATTTTTTTTCACTTTAACAAACACAAAATTTTTTAAAAGTTTGGTTAGACTTGGGACCATGTAACAATATTACGAACATTTTCTCTATTATTATCATATGTCATATTTGAATGCAATATAGTGCAATGCGGGCCGAGCACTAGGTGCATTTTAGAACTGTGGTAATTAATGGTCAAAAATAACAATTATCAAACAAAATACCCTGGTACATGAAATCTGTGTGTGTGTTTTAAAATTTTTTTTTTTAGTAAATTCTTTGTATACCTCAAATCAAAGTGTCAACAACCTGTGCTACTTGGAAAGAAAACTTTAAACATTGAGTTTGGAGTAAGACAGACGGAATGGTTAAATGTGATCAAAGGTCACGGCAACACATCACAGAGTAAACACTGCCATGTAATGAAGGACTCTCTGCTTTGCTAAATTGTTCCAATACACCAGCAGATCTCATTCAATAGTATCCTATTATTGGATTTCAATCAAACTAGATTGAAAATCATTCTTCTTAATGAGGTTTATATCAGATGCATTTATTCTGCTCCAGTGTGCCCTTTAAGACGCTATTTAGACATATTTACCATTGATCAAGTTGCGATTTTGTGTTGTATTGATTAAATTGCTTGGTAAAATACCATGCACCAAGGAAGCAAGCAAAATAGTGCCATCTTTGGGTACATTAATTCAAGCAATTTTCTGCCATCTTTTACTGATCAATACACATAAACATCTGTGAATAAATGATTTTTTGGATCATTTTTCTCAAGAAAAACATTATTGGAATGTCACCCAAAGTCATTAGGGATCACGAATGATCCAGCCAAACATTTCAAAGTGTGACCAAAATCGACAGTAACACATTGGTGAAACAGAGAAAATGACAGACCGGTAACACGCCGGCACAATTACCATAAATGCTGTGTTATCAGTAACAGTCAACAATTACATGCAAATCGGGCACATAAATACACCCAGGCCCCGGATATTCCATTTGACATTGTTTCTTCGTTTACGACGATGGGCTTTTGGACTGGAATCAGCAAATATTGAACATGGGCACAACATGAAGGATCAAAGCCAATCCGATTTTAGGACATACTTCTTGTCTGGTTTATTTCAATTTGGTAACCACTAATGTCACTTGTCTTTGAAAGAAAACAGGGGCTAAAAATATGTTCTTCATGTGCTAACATTCATTTATCATTTTCAAACATTCTCTTTCTCCCTCAGCCAAACAACTATTTTTCATGTACCTTTCTGATAATTGCTCGTCATAAAACTGCTAACACTTTTAATGTGTCTCTGGCAAGAGTGCATGTTACTTTAATGTGTTTCTGAAAATTGTGCAACTATACTGGGGAGGGGGAGGGGACAGATGATTAATTTATCAAATCCAAGAAGTCAAGAATCCCCCAATGCACCAAGTGTGCATTTGTTGCTAGCAACTTAAAGTATGTGGAACACATGAATAATATTGGTGTTAATTGCTCAGTGGCCTATTGCAACAATGCTTTATATTATCAGCATTCTGGGAAAGATGTGATAGCAGTTGAGGTATATGGCTTCTCCTCCTGGTGGCATCAAAAGTCATCCATCAGTACAGAGACTTCTGATCTTGTAGTAACTGTCTTCTGTTGATCATACGGTACACCCTGCTTCAACAGATGTTCACATACACTGCAGTGCCCTCCACACAAACTATCAATCTACTGAGCCACAACATTAACAAATAAACCACTGTTACAAATAGCTGGGCTCATGCTGTGCCTGTTCTGTCAGCCAAGGAAAAGAAACTAAATACTAGTACCTCATATTCTCTATCTGCAATTGCTACCTGTGTTTCTCCCAAAGAACTCATGTTTGGAATTCAGGAATTCTAAAAGTATGATTATTACCTCAATTTCTAAAATATTCCTCAAGTTAAATTGTCTGAACCAGTATATAAAGAAGATTTGCATGTTATACTTTTTTTTAAAGATTGTGTTATAAATCAAAACTCCATCTCTTGAAGAACAAACAACATCCACTAGATTTGTACAAGAGACCTTAAATGGGCACTAAAAAAATCTCTGTATGATTTATGATTCATCAAAAAATTTAGAATGACATAATCAAGCAAATCAGAAAAAGTAAGGCAGAACAGTGTCTCAGTACTGAAAGACTTCATAAATCAGCAGTGTCTGAAATACAGCATATGCAAGATTTCAGGGGATCCCTTAGCTTTATTGTTGGATAAGAAAAACATGCTTGAGACATCTAGACAAATATTCTTCTGTCATCAAAACATTGCATGATAATGCTGATGAATCCATGGAGCATATATAATACAGCTGCTGGAGACTTATCATTTCTCCAATTTCTGCATTGTTTGAGAGCCATGCTTCCTTAGTTATGTCATGAATGTGAAATTGTTAAATGCATTGAAGTTTTTCCCCCCTCTCTGGAAGTTGTCCATGGAATTGTGCACTTTTAATAGATATTACTTTGCAGAAATGATTTATCTAGTGGACTTCAAAATACACTATTAAAACAAGTTTTTAAGAATTTTAAAACATTAAAGAAAAAATAGTAGATGATATCCATAGGCAGGTTAACTACATGTAGCTAGTGCATGATCCAGAACCATCAAGCGGCTATATTACCATATGGCCTTATGGCCAAGTTCAACTTACAGAAACCCAAACAATTTGATGCTAGCATACTTGTTACTCATAAATTTTGACCAAAAGAGACTTTTTTGACATTTGTTTTTTCAGTGTCTGCTGCTGTACATCTTGAGAAAACATGTGTCAAAAACATGCTTCTTTGTCTTCTTGATGGCATATTTAGCATCTTTAAAGGGGGCAAAGATGAAAGAAGAAAGGCAGATATAATCTGTAGAAAATCCCCCTTGAAACATACACAACATCGGATGGTCAAAGGAAACCATGTGCCAACAATCATCTCTCTTATTCCATGATTTAAAATGAATTTTAAACATCTTGGTGATTCAGATCAAGTTAGTTGCTAGGATACACAAAGTAGACAAAATCTTCTGGCATCTGCTGTGGGATTACCAAATAATTAAAAAATCACCCATAATGCTTAGTTAATAATCTCACAGCAGGATTTGAAAAACATAAATTACAATACCCCATACTAAAGTTTATCTAAAAATTCAATAGCTGTAACTGCCTGCAAATTGAAAACATTGTTACGATAATTCAAGAATGAACTATTCCCTAACCAGACCAGTATGTTTATTGTAAAAGGTGGCTTTCAAGTTACAGAAATTTTATGCTTTCCCCAACATTGATTTATATTCATACTTCACTGGGGGCTTACATCACCTTAATAGAGAAGTTAGAAAAATGTTTCAACACTTCTATGACTGTTCCCAGTTCAGAGAAGTTACAAAAGTTTTATGAGCTGCGAGTCGTAAAAATGGCAATGTGTAATGAAAGAAAGATTGGAAGAAAAAGGTGGTAGAACTCTTTTGCTCTGGTAAATGAGTTTTTTTCTGAGGTTATTACATACATGAAACTCCTTTCAGTAAGCCTCCCAAATGTTATGATGTTGACTCCCTTTCAGTCCGTCCAAAACAACTTCATTTTTTTCTCTACTCTGCCTTTGTCAATGGAAAAAGTAACTGAAGATAATTGTTCCCTCACAAGTTCTTTGTTTCAAAACCTCTAGTGCTGACAGACAAGAAGTGAATGGGTACAGGCAATCCATCAGTGTGTGGTCAAATGAGCTGAGGCCATGTCAACAGTCCTGAAGTGGTGACAAAGTCCCCCCACTTCAATCATTGTCTCCCTCTCCCAATTACCATGCAATCCATCATTTTCAAATTGACAGTTTACATGCATAACTTTTAAATTTTTCATAAGCATGCTGCCCACACAACAGCGCACTTTGTTTTTAATTCATCAAACTCATGTTTTCTCACTTTGCACCGATTTTGAATTTTGCAACCTTCATTTTATGCTTACTGTTATCCTACATATTAAAAAGGTATTCCTCAATCCATAGAAGTCACTTTCTTTAATTTTCTTCCAATAAAAATTGAAATGTGAAATGTACAAGTTGTAACTAAAAATATGGACAAGTAACATGCATATGACAATTACAGTACGTGTGACATGTTTATAGTGAACAAAGATGTAACAAAATCATGCAGAAAATGAAGTCACAACTTTTTCGCCCAGTGGTAGAAAATAATGAAATTACAAGGTCATAATGAATTACCCCAAAAAGGATATCACTGGTGATTTCTGAAACCTTGTTTTACTATATTCATGAATCTGCATTTCAAAAGGCTCCAGAAGTTAAGCCATGAGGGATTAACCAATCATGTCTTAATAATCTATGACACTACTGCACTTCATTGTTTACCTTTTTTTTTTAACCACACCTGTTCCCAGGAAGCATAGAAAAATCCCCTCTTCTGAGCTAATCTTAACATTATGTTTATAAATAAGCATTTATCACTCTGGCAAAATTCACATCAATCAAGAATATGTTATCACATTTGATCATATTACTTTCAAAATGTTATCCATCCCTAGATAGAGGGGAGATAACCTACAACTTAAACTTGGAGGTTTATCAAGCAAATTTCAAATCAATTTCTCAGCAGGATTAAAGTAAACCTCTTAAATGTGTGTGCACAGACTTATTGAAATCAATTTCTTTCTGGCCTGCTGTGAAGAGGAACTCCCCCACAGCATGGCATAGTTCACCCAGGAACATTTCATCAAATGTCTGCACACTTCCCCATTAAGCCTGCATAAACTGATTGAGCTGGTTTACATTACAGAAAATCGGGCCATTTATCCCCCTCACTGGCAGGTGGGGTTTATTTTTATTTGGGAGAATAATTGGGGGGACTTCTGATTGCTGTCCTCATGGCTTTATGGTTAATTTTCTTTCCCAGAAGCAGGTGTTTGTTCTAATTTCATTGGCTGGACAATTACAGAATTAATCATGAGAGTAGTACCTTATTAAGCATTTTGAAATAACAATGGAGAGATACTTTATAAATGATCTGCAATTTGAAATTGAACTCTTGCATGCATTTTCAATTGTAGCAATTCCTTTCAACCCCCCCCCCCCCCAAAAAAAAAAGAGAATGTGTATATTTTGCAATTTTGATTGCATAACAATTAAAATTAACAAAATTCAAGTTAAATAATGAAATCCAATTCATAAATTTTATGTGCTAGGTGAAGAAATTACAAGCAGGAATATGTGATAGCTAAGTTCACCATAAATATGCTTTGCATTAACTCTTCATACTTACATGCAATTTTAATTGTGCCCTTTTTACTCTTGACTCCACCCAATCCATTAGTCCCACTGAGAGTGTTGTAGGCGAAACATTCACACCAAAAATCTCCTCCAAAGTACTCGTCCACATCATCTCTCTCCACAAGGACAATGGCAGATAAAATCTTTATGCTTTTCTCCTGATCCACTATGTTTTCCATCCTAGTTGGCTCCAACCACTCTCCAGCACAGCGAAAATTGATGCGGACCGCATTGATGGCTTTGCATGAGACTTCGGCAGGTTTATTCCGAACTACATAATCCACTTCCTTAGGGTGTTCTACAAATGCTGGGATGTCCTGAAAGCGGCTCTTCCCAAGAGATGCAGCGTCAGAGGAAAAGTCTGCAAAAGCCAATATATTGTCTGAATTTAAATTCAAGATTTAGAAAAAAAAATTTCAAACGGTGAATCAGACAGTTTTAAAGCAACAGAAATTTTTAGAAGTCTATTACATGCTGCTTTCTTTTTATATAATTTCAATGTAAATTAAATACTGGGTGTGGCGTGGGGGAATCGCAGCATTACTGCCATATGGATTCTTGATTTTGATTCACATGAACAGTGTAGTTTTAATGAAAAGAAAACTGAGACTATAAAACATTGAAAACTCAAACCAGCTTTACACATTATTCACAGTTGGTACATCTAATTCAAATTCCATTCATTTTTATTAGAATTATTTCATAAAACATCATTAAAGCAAGTTATTCTCTACAACTAAGTTTATTATAAATGAGTTTGACTGTATTTGTTGGAAAAACACAAGGTATTCTCTACAACTAAGTTCATTATCAATGAGTTTGACTGTATTTATTGGAAAAACAAAGACAAAGAAAACAATTTGCAGGAACCAGAGAAACCATCATTGAGATCTTAGCCTCTTGTTAACCGAATGTGTTGAATGAATACAAGTTCCTGATGAGAACCTATTGTCTACAGACGAACATCTTAATAAACAGAATGTTTACACACATCAAATGCAATCTGTCACTGCACCAGCAATGCATTTTCCACCCTGCCCATAATAACTACCACAACTACAGTTTTTAAGTTGTGAAAATATGATGATGAGAGATGCAGAACCATTTCTTCTCATGGGCAAAATAAATGTAATCACTATCATCTTCGCTAAAGCATCTCCATCAACCTGCCTGTTCATACGATTGATAAACTGGCTACTTTACTTTCACTTTATAACTAATGTTCCAAGTCATCCCTTTAAAACATGTAATCAAGATAAATTGAAGAATTGAGGTTGGAAGAGATATTAGTTAGTGAGAACAGAGATATTCCTTAAAACCCAATCCTGGTATCTATCTCTGATTTCAAAGAATGCCTTTGACTAAGAAAATGAAGAAGAATGTGGGTCACTGCACTAAATTCTTCTTCATAGTACATGCTCATCAAATTGGCAGCTTCAAACTGTGTCTTCTCATGCACACAATGTTTGTTTTCATTTGTTTTGCTTATTTAACAATCAATGAGAAATTACTGCAGCTGTTGTGCATGTTCCAGCAAAAGAACTTCTCAGCCCTTTGTGAGGACCAAAGCTCTTTTTCATACAATAAAAAAGAGAATACTGAACAGATTTGCAAATGCATGTCTGTTTTTTTTCTATGTTGTCTAAAATAATTTGTTTAAAAATACCCCCATTTTAATTTTAGACGGGCTTGATGTCATACATCAAGTCCCTGTTCAGAATTTAAACCCCCACTAATCCCTAATCCATCAAATCTACTTCCTGCATAACCCCAAAAAAGATGAGTTTACAAAGAGAAAAGTTTGTCTTTTGTTTGATTTTGAGATCAACAAACAAACACAGGTACATGCAGTATGGGTTTCTATGGGAATACTCTGGCCATCCTTGTTAAAATAATCTATTGCTTGTTTGTACATATATCACTGTGTCATTTCTTGGATAGATGTTGCCTGCTCTTTGTTCAATTCCATAGGACATGTACATATATTAAGGTATCTAGAAGAAGCTTAAAATACATTATGCAAAGTTTCTCATGAAACATGAAAGAGCAGTTTTTTAGTTAGGAGAAAAACCTTTTTTTTTATTTGCTTATCAGAACAAAGTCCCACATTACATTCTATGATTTTAGTCAATTGCACACCTCACTTATGCATTTTAATATGTCTGGGAGACTCTTTGAAGGGACTGTAATATTGAGAGATTTATAATATTTATGGACTTGAACATTTTTACTCTCTTTTGTTTAAGGTAATTTTCAGGCACCTGTTAATTGAATCACTTTTGAGTTTCTGTTTTGACACATGGCTGTTAAAACACAAAACATTTTGATTTCAAATGGTTTTATTTCTCATAGTTTATTTGATGTCAGCCTAATACTGCATTTAAAAGATGTCTAATATATGTTTAGAGTAAATGCTTCAGTCCACCTTTCTTCTGAGTCAGATTGAACAATGTACATCAATCAATCAGATCCACAGGTAAAAAAAATTTCAATATCCTTCCAAAGATAAATCATTCTTGTGGTTGCAAATGGTCCCCAGGGATTGTAGATGAGTACAAGGTTTTTATGGGAACTTTATGAAGTGTCATGTGGTGTTTAGAGCCCACCATTTGTAAGTTACAGTAAAATGATCTTCAAAATTAAAACAGGCTTGACCAGTAGTATTCGATCTTTCACCCAACCTGTTCATAAACCTTATAAAACGGGACTTAAAAACCACTAACAAATTTAGTCAATGCTCAAAACTAATTTCTGTAAAAAACAATTCATTGAAATAATCCTTTACAAGATGTCATTTATCTTATTATATATACCGGTATATGTTAAAAAAAATAAATCTGACATTCAAGTTTGTGAAGTATTCCCACTAGGTGATACACATTTTTTCATTATCATCCAGAGTATTTATTTTTGAGCCACAAGAATTAAGACTTGCTTTTGAGTGATTGCTTATTGACTTGTATAATACTCTCTGGAAATCTGTTTGTTTGTCTTTGATTCATTCTCAACTCATCTGAACCACCAAAAAATAAACAAGTGATATAGTTTTTCGGTTTCAGCTGTTAACATGCCCCACAACCTGTATACTATCTGGGTTTTTTTTTTTTTTCTTTAATCAAACCATGTGTTCTCTCATCAAAAAGCACAAAAAAACCACCAACAACAAAGAAACAACCACAAAGAAATGACCAAATTCCAATCATATGCATTCAAGCCATTTGAAGCTGAGTAAGGCACTTATTTGACCTCTTGTTTCCTGCAATCAAATTGTCCATATTATAAATTCAGGAAAAAGACACCCCAATTTGACCCCCGAATATCATATAGAAGATAAATAAAAGTTAGAATATTAACGGATATATGGCTCCCCTGACAAGTCGTGAAAATTGAGCGACCTTAGCAAAAACCATCAGAGAGTTCACACTTTGATGAATGGTTCTGCCAATACCCCATGTATGAGACCCATCTATCATGAAAATGAAAAAGCCAACAATATGCTGCAAAGGAAAAGGTCTGGAAAACCTTAATCAATCAAGTGTTTTTAGATAATAAGGAAAATTTTACACACTTCTCTCGGTCAATAAATGGGCAATAATTCCATATAATTTAATTTTTACATTATACCCACTTTTAGCCATTAATTTTTATGGTTTTGATTAGATACTCTGGTCCCCTTGAAGATTCTAGGGGGAATTTAGCCACCACTAAAGGGTCACCATGATGTTGTTATCCAAATTATATCTCCAATTTCTTTCTGAATGCTAATTCATGTCTTGGATTATGATATTACAAAAAAAAATTGACAGATTATTTTGCTTCCTTGTCTGAGATGAGATAAGATGCTCAAATTGTAGCTGGATTTGACCGAAAGGGAGGTAATTGTGATCTATGTAAGCAACAGACCAATGTTTACAAAGAAAATATTGTCATTGTAATACACCACGGATCTGTTTACTCTTCAGCTTCTATGTTAAGGTTGTTTGATGAAACTATACACACATGTAATTTTGTTTTTAAACGTCACAAATTGTTAGATTTAAAAGTCATTGCACTTGCTCAATACACAAGTGTGTGATAAAGCAAGCTATCTGTGCTGTCTTAGAAGACTGGGTTTATATCAACATATTTCACATAATAGACAAACATTTCTGCCTAAGTCCCTCCTTGGATTTCCCTTTGATCATGTCTCTATGTTAACATTGAGAAAGTTTAAAAAGTCATTAGTTAGTCCTCATGCCTCTCTCTCTCCTCTGCCCCTCTCTCTCTCATATTGGGGTAAAGGTAAAATATTTTTTGAAACAAGAACAAACTACCCCTAGACATGCAACAGTTCCATTTCTATTCATATCAGTTTTCCCTTTACAGAAAAGATGTCCTTGATGCCATTCAACCACCTGTTCCATAATTATATTTCATTCCAGTTTAAACTTCACCCATTTAATGTTAATATCCCATAAAGAGAAACATAAATTCTGATTTTATCAAGATACACATTCTAAATTTGCCATTGTTCACCTTTGTTCCTATAGCACTTCAAAAGACCCCCAGATTTTACTGCCCCAGATGTTGAGAGGTGAAGGCATTTACAATAGACAGCGGTCAGACTTTGACTGGACCTGAACATATCTACACCAGTAGGTAAATTATGTTATTTATTAGGGAACTGTCCACTCATAATTGTATGACAAGCAAGAAATCCATTTAAATTATTTATTGTGGTCCTCAGCAGTGACTTGACCTACTCTGGAGAGCACCATTGTCACACTCAAAGATTTACATCAGTTGCATAATTTATTTTCCCTTAAAAATTTCCCTGCATTGTTGAATAGTCAGATTTATACAGCCACTGATCAAGAAGACTTTAAAGTACAAGTAAAGAATGAAGTACAATGGAAAAATCTTATTTTATTATCATCTGCTTTATTTCTTTTATATAGAGCATTCTAAATCTATCGTCAATTGCACTTTTGATGAAAGAGATTTTTGGGGGAAAGTACATTTTTAAAATAACTTTGTCTAGGTTCATCATTTCATAATTGGTATCTATAAAGTTTTAACGTCATTTCTGTTTAAAAAAAAAAAAAAAAAGACCACACTGTGCAATGACCACTTGACAAGAATTACCTCCTTGTCAAGTATCATCAAAATCGATGAATTAAATACACATTTCCTGAAGGATTCTATTTGTGCAATGGTTCTTTTTGTTGAAATTGTGAGGCTTAAAGCTGTAATGTCAATAATTATTCTGTATTAACAAGCCCTCTTCAGGCTGATTTTTTGTAAAGAAAAGTGAATAGAGTTATAATAATTTCAATGAAATATGATACACAACAAATATCCAATATTTACCAATATGTCACT